ACCAGTGAAGAAGTCTGACCATCGGGCCGGCGGTCGTCCAGGTGTTCGTTTGACGTCCCGAGGGATCCAGTCGGTAACCGCTCTGGTCCAACGGTCATCGCAAAATCGCATGACGTGTCCGGCCCACCTTATCTTCGATTCCTTGGCGAAAACGGCAGCGTCCCTGATCTTCGATCGTTGGCGTAGTTCGGCACTCCGGATTCCCCTCTGCACTTGCGTGTATAGGGTTACTCCTAGCATCGTCCTCTCGACAGCGCGTTGGATAACGCTGACCGCATGCTCGTCCTGCCTGCGCAGAGTCCAAGTCTCTGAGGCGTAGGTTAGGGCAGGAAGGACAGCGGAATCGAAGAGGTGGGCACGGAGCCGGATGTTCTTCGTCTTCTTCACTACTCCCTCGATGTTCTTGTACGCTCCCCAAGCCGCTCGTTTCCTCCTGCTCAGCTCTGGAGCTAGATCGTTCATCATATTGATTTCCCGACCTAGGTACACGTATGTACCTCGCCTTCAAATGACCAGAAATTGTGCAATTGCAGAAATTGACGTGGCATTGGCACACGTGGCTAAATTCTCGATGAAAAGGTGACATCACGTGTGCTCAAAGATGTTCTTGAATCGATGCCACGTTAATGCCACGTCAATTTCTGCAATTGCACAATTTCTGGTCATTTGAAGGCGAGGGTAGTCGAGCATTCGGTGATGATTTCGTTCCGTTGAGCGTGAATGGGGCATCAGGAACCAATCCGTTTCTCATAAACATCGTCTTCGTTAGGTTCAGCTGTAGACCAACCTTACCACAGGCGCAGTCGAAATCAGCCAGCATTCGCTCCGCTTGCTCGATGTTCGGCGTTATAAGAACGATGTCGTCAGCAAAACGAAGGTGGTGTAGTTGCCGGCCGTCGACCTTCACTCCCATGTCTTCCCATTCCAGTTGACGCATGACGTTCTCGAGAGCGGCGCTGAAGAGTTTGGGCGAGATGGTGTCGCCCTGTCGAACCCCTCTCTTGACGTCGATGATGACCTCCTTGTAGAATGGTGAGATTCTGGTCGTAAAGTTGCTGTAGAGCTCACGAAGAATCTTGATGTACTGAGTAGGGACGCCCTGGTTGCCCAAGGCTTCGATGACCGCTTCTGTCTCCACAGAGTCGAAGGCCTTCTTCAAGTCGATGAACGTGAGACAAAGCGGCATCTTGTACTCTCGTGAAACTTCAATGAGTCTTGTAACCGTGCTTCGTTAGAAAGAGAAAATCCTGTACTTTCTTCCCATGAAAAAAGTGCATCACAGAAATGAAAATGAAGTGAGTTATGGTCGCTGAAAGCCCAAAAACTCGCTTTTGCACGGAAAATGTTCGAACGGGACAATTTTTTGAAAAAGGGGACAATCACTAAACTTTTTATACTGTTTTGATAGAGAAATATTTGAAGTTTCTGAAACTTTTTACAGATTTCCAAAATGTCGCATACGAAAGATTTTATGGGCCTTCAAAGTTGAAGGTGCGCCTTCTTAGAATTTTGGGTTTTCCACTTCTAACAGAAGTACTTTCCGGAGAGTTAGGCAATCCTTGTAGTTTTCTGGAAGCGCACCTCAGGCACAATCAAAATCTACCTCAACAAGTCAAAAAAAACGTCCCAAGAAAGTTATTCCCCTCTAAAATTTTTTCTTCGCCGCGTCCCGTTCTTCCAGCGCCCGGGTGATACCTGCCGCGCTCCAAGGCTGACGCCGCAACGCAGACGCTTTCTGGCGCAACGGATTCATGTCTAGCACTCTTATTAACAAAAACAGGGGGTCGCAACTGGACCCCCTCGAGAGCTAGGGGGTCGCAAAAATCCCGAAAATGTTCGAACGTGACGGTTGACCCTGCTCCATGGGGGTGCGTGACGATTCAATCGTGGCAGTGGCTAGGTCGCCGCGCCAGCCGCCGCAGCCCGCGATGCGACGTCGGCCGTGGCTAGAATTCAGGTTCTAGCATTGGGGAATGTAGGATTAGATGAAGTTTCCAGTCGTGAAACACGGTATATGATCACCTGCCCCCTTAAAATACAGGATCCTTGTCCTTTGCCATTATTTACAAACTTATTCTGTCATACTAATGTTATGCCTTCCTCACCGTTCCACTGCGTCTTGGAACGTAATATTTTCCGATTGAGCCAGATTATCGCTCTCTGATAACAATTCAGGCAGTTGATTAATAAAGAAGTCAAATTATGTTCAAAAGGACAACCTTTACATGGCACAAGCTCTGTACAGTGAGGCTTAAATAACTGCGGAGATCTTAAGGTGACGCTTGCTGGCTTACTGATGTCTGGCACTCTGGTCTTATCAGTCACCTAACCCCAGCAACTTATGGACATGGATGTTAAGAAAGGTCCACACAGAAATCGCCGCACCAACTGCCGCGCGCGACGCTGCTCGCCGCGTGAGCGGCGTGACCTCATTAGCCGACGATTGAATTGACCGTTTCCCCTCCATGGCGCATACCAGAGCGGAATGGGTCAGCGCCAAGTGCATCATTTTCAATTTACTCCATCGAACTGACGTGTACAGAAGCATTTTGAAGGTGTTCAAAGAAGTTCCCTACTACGGCGAGGGAGTAATAGAGTTTTCGAGTGGCTTCGAAAATTTCCTTGACATTTCCTCGACGCAGATTTCTCGCGAACTAGAAAGCGTTCGAAACAACTGGAGCACCTATCAAAAAGCGTAAATCTTCTACTTTACAACGCTTTCCTCCGATTTTCAAAGCATTGCCAATGAAGAAATAGTCTTCCAAAGTGTGGAACTCACATGTAAGTTTCCATTACCTCGACAGTTCCTATTGTCTCCTATTTCTCAAGAAAAAACGTGCTTGAAAAAACGCTCAGCGTAATTAAGAAACTAGAAGTCTTGTGCATTCAGAAACTGTCTTTATTTTCTTAAATGGCTGTCAATGAAGAAAGTTATGGTCCTTCAAATAGGGAGTACATTTGAAGACTAACGCGACTTTTTCCCAATTAACACATTCACGCCGGTGGCCGTCTATATGGGTTGCCAACGACATGCGCTTCGGGAAGTTGGTCGCCATATGGGCTGCTGAAATCGCGTGATAGCGCGGGGAATGACAGATAGGTGGGCAAACCTCGTAATCGAAGTGTAAAATGCTTTTAAATTCCTTCACGGGGAAAGTGAATAAATGCTCTCTTTTCGTAACCACTATTTGTCGTTCTGATCGAAATCCTACTGTTATATGTTTAGATAATCTTTACGCATTGGACATTGCAGAAATTATTTTGTGACATTCATGTTTTTGTTCATTTACAAAACAAAATCTGCGGTTATGTGGTGAGGCGGCGGCGCCCACAAAATCGCGTCCGTCCCACGCGACCGAAAAGTGGAAAAGGGGCGTCGTCGTGAATGTGTTAAAGCGTGCAGGCACACCGACAGGGTTATTGTGCCGCGATACTAGGAGGCAGAGCTGTCTCGATTGTGTGGGGAAGTAACCCACGAGAGTCCCCGCCCAACCTGTCAGGGGGGGGGGGGGTGGGGGGTGGAGGGTGGGGCCCGGGTGTGCGCCGACAACGGCGCGCGCAAAACACGAAGTGTGCAAGCAGTTACCTGCTTCAATGTTCTACGTTCCGACCAGTGTGGCAAAGAATAAATGTCAGCACAACGTGGCTCGGGGGAAGGGGCAGTCGCCGCGCGCGATCTCTGCGTTTTCTGTGTAAGCATTTCCTCTTCGCTAAATCGGGACTAAGCCTCGGGCAGGGGAGGAGGAACTCCAGGATCATAGCAATTTTCATCTTCCCAAAGTTCCTGCCCACTCCTAGGCTTAGTACTACAGGGCGCGGACGAGCAGAGATCGCGCGCGGCGACTGGCCTCCCTCTGAAGCCACATTGCGCTAAATGTCTTGTATGAAGAGGGAAAGTATCTTAGCAGAAATGAGAATTTAGCAGTTGAAGCCGATGCGGAGCATGTTGGGGAAGCTCGGGCTCTCGCTTGATTGAAGCTAGTATTTTAATATGAAAACCGATGTGGGGAGGACAAAAGGAAGTCGCATCGGAGCCGGTTTGGGGGGGGGGGTCGTGAAGAGTCGGTCGTTTCCTCGACACGACTTTCACCCTGGTAATGCGTAGCGACAAGCTGTTCGCAAGCTAATTGCCAGTACTCTTATGCAAGTAAAACATAACTTTTCTTGAACCTTCCTTTCTTCGTTATACTGTTTTTTCCCATTGTGGAACGGAATGGAAGAGCGGATTCGCAGCCTAGCCTATAACTAACTCAATAGACCCTTTTTTGCCTGTTGTCCTTCTGAGGAAAGCTTTGCTGAGTTGGGGAGTTTTTGATTCTGAGGATAGATCAGGACATCATCACGACGCGCTTCGGATGAGGCATCGTAGGATGAACGCAGATACTGCTTTCTGTTGCTATGACCTGTGATATCATTGAAATCAATCAGAATTCGAACTAACCAACCCTAATTTGAAGGCATGCCCAGGTGTCGAATCGGTGTGGCTTTTGCACGGACGAATGCGATATATATGTAGCGATAGGCGAAAAAAGAAAGAATTGTGGAAAACGCTTAAGTTAAGAGCGCGTCACCCCTAATCGACTGTGGTAGGGACATGAGAGATAAGCTGCAGAGGAGCGGGATGGGGGACGAGACGCCACAGTAATGATGAGAGCGCCGACAACAGCCGCAATACGAGAGAAAAGAACTTTCCAGGCGTGCAGCAGCTTGATTGGGCAGAGGCGCAGCGCGATGGTTTCGGGGTTGGTTTTTGTGCGCGGGGGTCTACACTACGGACCGAAGGGTAGCGTTTACACGACCTCTGCCTGAGTTGTGCCTTTAATGAATATTAACTGAAAGGAAATTTGGAATGTAGTTTTCAAATGCTAGGACTATACAGCGTCTAGTTATCTATCTAGAGACTACGAAAAATACTGGGATGTATCTGTAGGCTTACTGTTATCATGCGTCACTGATGTGAGTCAGCCAAATAACGGTCTTTATTTTCAGATAGCAAATGTCTCGAAACGATAACACTGATATGCTTGAATTGACAGCCTACTACCGTGAGGTGGTCCGCCAGATGATGTACTGTAACGGAGATCTCGAAGATCCATTGCCGTCCTGTGTTGAGATGGTGTTGAATATGGCTAAATACCAAATGGTCAAAGTGCTTGAAGACGCCTGGCAGCGCGCTGTCGGCCAGAATAGGGAGACGATAATCCTTGAAGACGTTTTGTTTCTCTTCAGAAGGCATAAGTTTTTGCTGAAGAGACTTCTACACTTCGCTGATACAGCTGAGCGCATTAACGAGTTGAAGCGAGCAGCTCCACAGACGGCGAAATTGGACGAGGAGCCTGACCAGGAAAACAGCATGGACGATGATGACGTTGTCGGCGTAGCGAGCACCAGGTTGGTGGTTAGAGTGTTCTCCAGCAATCTATCAGCTGTCTGGATCTGTTTCAGCGTACCCGACTCAAATCTCAGTCGAATGCTGAAGTATGTGGATTCCCTGAACTTGGGAGAGAGCGCAGAACAATTGTTCACAGCGCCTGATCAGGAACTCGAGCAAAGGCAGCGTCGAATTGCCGATATTGTCATGAACGAGCTCTCTTCGGAGGAGTACCCTCGATTTACTGCAGCGCGCACAGCTACATTCCTCGACGACCTCAAGAGGCATCCAAGAAAGTAAGTCAATCACACCTACATTTTTTTGCTGGTCTAAAATCGTAGGTAATGATCAAGGGAAAACATGGCAACGCTAATTAATACCCCTGGAATGCATCAACCAACTGGAGTTCTTCCAGTATAATAGAGCGTTTGAATGCGCATCCACTTCACACGAATCCTTTTGGGGCTAGTGATTTCAGATCAACCATATCATTATCCCTATAGTTCAAGCAGAGTCTCAGTTGTAGAGTCTGCATCAACCAACCTGCGGAGTGGAAGGCTTCGTTATTCTGGACGTGGCAAACCTAGTAGTCGTAAGAACGATAATTTTATTCTGCCCCACTTCACACTGACCGGCAGAGTTTGCGAAGTTAGCTGGTCGTTAGAAGCTTACAGTTCGAAGTGATGCATACATACAGAGGTGGCCAAAAAGCGACATTTACTCTAACTCGAATTGAACATGGACACCTCGTGCACCTTTCGAACTCAACGTGTCCCTCAACGGATCATGGACCATTGCGACCTTATTTAAAAACTGGTAGGAAGGGGTCTTGCACAGTAAGAGCTACTGTCTCTAGGAATACATCCATCAGCTTTACCGATTGAAGTAATCACGTAGCTGTGTTAGGCTGAAAGTGGTAATTGCGCCTAGGCGGAGGAAGGAGGAGTGAGCGTTCTGGAGACCGAGCAGAAAATTAGATGCCGCTATGCGCCAGAAAATGACAACGAATCACTCCTATGGGCAGGATTACAGCGAATTTGATGGGAAAAGATGTTGCACTTAAATTGACGCAAATTAGTGCAAAATGGCGACAACCAAAACATGAAACGCCATAATTTGTCAAGGGCCACAGAGTTATCGGTCAGCCAAATTCCGCAACAAAAAAGAAGATTCTGGTTTATAAACAGGCCAAATAGTAGCAGAATTGTTTCAGAAAGTTTCCCTTAAAGAATTGGTAAGGTGACTTGCAACCTGACTGGCAAAACATTAAGGATTCTGTGTTGATCACACCCTTTCGGGATAAGGCAGACGCTCTAATTCGACTCAGAATTGCAGCGACATCAGAACGAGAGCGGCCGAGGTCAGCCGATGCACAAGTCAACGCTCAAGCTCCCACACGTCTAGTAAAAAAAACCCTTCGAGGAGAAAGGCCTGGTTGGTCTGGGTGGTATTCAAGCCGGGCTTCAATGGCCAAGACCGCTTCAGTGATAAGCAGAAGCAGCTGCCATAGCACCACCTTTCTCAAATAAATCGAATCCAAACGTGAAAAATTTATGTCAAATAGCAGAACTCATGGAAAATACAACGGGGGGTGGGGGGGGGGTTAAAAAAGGGAAATAATGTGCGAGGTTGGGTGAGCGGAAAATGGGGAATGAAATCATCTTAAAAAAAACCAGACCCATCATTGTTGTGCACTACTGCAATGCTCATATACAGGGGAGGCCAAAAAACACTTTGTTCATGACTCATATCAGCAAGGTTTCATTCACATAGGCTGCCGTGGTCGATGGAAGTCTGGCAGAATATTGCCTGAAATATTCCTTCATACGCAGATGCAATCCCCTGTTCACTACCCTAATGATCTCCAGAATATGACTTCACCTGCAATCGTCGTCGAGCTCAAAGGAGGTCTTTCGTAATTGCTTCAGCCTAACACAGCTACCCTCGCCTTCAAATGACCAGAAATTGTGCAATTGCAGAAATTGACGTGGCATTGGCACACGTGGCTAAATTCTCGATGAAAAGGTGACGTCACGTGTGCTCAAAGATGTTCTTGAATCGATGCCACGTTAATGCCACGTCAATTTCTGCAGTTGCA